AGAAGCTACCTGCCCTGTTTCTATCCAGAGGAAAACAACTTCCTCCACAGTCAGATGTCTATGGTGGATTATACTATTCCTTTTCTAAGCTGTTTGTTTTTTTTTTTTTTTTCAGAGACATTTGTCTTCTCTAACTTCATACAGCACATTAAATCAGTATCACTTTTCTGAAAGACATGACAGCACAGGCCACAAGGAATATGAATACTTCTCCAGTATAAAAAGTATACCTAGATATATTAAAAAGTATCTCTCTTTATATAAAAGTATTTATATATTAAAACAGTATACATAAAGCCTCCAGTAGAAATACTACTTGTGATAGTGAGGCAAAACCTAACACATTCATACAGATCCAACAACAGCAAGCTCTGCTTCTTCCCTCAGCAGTTATCTGTTCCACGTATTTCACTCAAAAGCAGCAACAGCTAAAATATCGTGGCAAGAAAACCTGGTTTCTATGGCTATGAACCTCTGAGAAATCTGTTAATCAGAAATATAAGTCAGGAAGAAGACTCCAATGCAGAATTTCCAGGGTGTTGGACTGGCAATAAGCAACTGCCCAGCAAGATCCCCCAAATACTGCATTAATATTATTAGAGGATCTCATATCGGATCGATCCAACACTTAAGAACATCAAAGCAGAATGAGCAAAAGCTAGTAAGAAATGCAGGAAAGGTACATGGAGCATTACCAAATCCATCAGGAACATTGCAATGGCAGTGGAAGGAACAGACCTGTGATAAGTGTACACTGCAAGGTATTTAACAGGAACCAATGCAAAGGGAGCCCAATGCAAATACAGCAAGACCGGTAAATGAATGGAATTACAAAATTCAGCAGAAAGCCAATTTATGGCAACCCCCAAAACAAGAGGCACTAAATGAGCTACCCATCTCCTTAGCCCACCTGTCATTTCTAAATAGTCCTGCACAGCAAATAAATCTGAGCTCAACTCTCCAACCCAGCTTGTAAGCCCAACCCTACCTTGACCTTAATTATTACCTGGAGAATAATCTCTCTAAAGAACCAAAGCCGTAAACAGACCTCAGAGGAGGATAACTTCAAATCTCCCTGTGGTTCCAGAATTACCAGTGATGTATCCATCACCACCTAATGCTGCATGTTGAAAACTAAGATCTTTACACAAGAATTTGCCATTTAAGAAAGATTTTTCCCTCCTTCTGGTGATTAAAAAAATATTACAATTCTACTACTAGTATTACGTGACCTCTGAGCCTCTAAAAAGCTTATTGGAAAATATGTGAACTGCGCATGGGGACTTGCCTGGCTCTGTTGGTGCATCATTCAGCAAAAAGATGGAAAACAACTAGAATTTTGAAATAAATCCACAGCAGATGAACGGTAATCTACATGGTGTTTATTGTAGATGTAGTGAACTATGAAAGCCATTACAGCCCACTATTTGTTTAAATGCTTTTTCTAAACCACCTCAAATCATAGCAGCAAATTAGAACCCCAGTTTGACTGTTGCATGTTTCCGGCTTTGATTATATAAATATTTATATAGTGAAAAAAAAAAAAATACTTTGCACTCCCCACTGAAACCTTCTACCCAGCAGGAAACCACTTGCAAATGACTGAGGATGAGAAATATTTAGGGAGGTTTGGGTGAGTCCAGGTTTTCCCCTGCAATGTTAAGGGCAGTGGTGACTTCAGACCCTCCTGCGGTATATTTGAGCTCATTAAATTTTTTAAAAGAGACCAAGCCATCATTAATTAACACTAACATGTATTCTGGGTTTTCTGCCACAGAAACCCATCTATTTTGCAATAGAGGGAAAAAATGCAACAAAATAAGAAGACCCCGTAGGAGGTGAAGATCAGCTCCAGGCTGCTGATGGGAAGAGGGATCACCCACGTACAGGGGCGACGCCGATGCTGACACCCTTCACGAACAGCCTGGCCATCTCACGGCCAGACCTGTGAAACCTGCAGCACTGCTCACAGTATTTGCTGAACACCTGAAAAGTCCCTCGGCTGTGGCTCCCAGGCTGCTCCCTGCAGCAAAACCTGCCCCAGCTTTTCCTTCAGAGGATGGAAACTGGCTCCACTTGATGGAGTCAGCGGTGCCTGGAGACCTGGCCAGCCGAAGCCTTGGGGAGGGTCTGCATTGTCTCATCTGGCACAGTCTTGCCCAGCGCTTCTCACCACCTCTCAGCTCACCAGCAGCTTGGTCCAGTTGGTGCTGGGTTTGAGGAAGATGAGGAACAGGTGGTGCTGGAGGAAGATTGGACACCTCGAGCCATCAGCTGAGCATGCTGGCTGCTGACCAGGCATTCTGCTTCCCATTCAGCACCTGGTCCCAGCATGGCTGGGAGAGCACCATCACAAGCACCTTGTTGCAGTGATGAGCAAGACCAGAGTGGCTTCTCCAGGGGAAGAGTGACCGAAAGGGGCTGGAAATTGGCTGCTGGAAATGTGGCAGGTCACCGAGTTCCAGCAATGAGCTCAGGGGACCACCTGCATGCTTGGTCACACTTTTTTGTACACTGTGGACTCTGGCCTGACTCTGAAACACTGGCTGAGAGAAGAGAGTACTTACTGCATTTCTTTTTCCCGTCCCAGCTGGAAACCAACACAGCTTCTCCCTTCCTGCCCTTGGATTGTCCCTCCAGCAGTGGCAGGTTGGTGCACCCATGGAAACCCAGGGCTGGAAGGGATCTCCTGGAACATCTCATCCAGGATTGTGCTTCTCCATCCCTGAAAGGTCCTCATCAAATCTATCCATAACAGCCACCAGCGATGGAAAGCCCAGCACCTCCCCAGGATGGACAGCTGACAGGAACTCCTCTTCCCAGCAGCAAACCCAAGGTGGTCTTGGCACCACGCAGGGACCCTGCAAGCATCTTGCAGTCAATGCAGACCAGGATGGACTTCGGCCTTCTCATGACAGCGTGTTTTGGTCTGTGCTTGGCTTGTAACCATAGTCCACATCCTTTTTTGATGAGTCACTCTCAAGCTGCTGCTGACAACCTTGAGCCCAACAGAGAAACCTCATTGGTTTTTTTCCCTGGATGTTTCTGGACAAGTGGTGACTCAGCTGTCAGAGGTCAATAACTCTTCATGCTTTATCTGAACACTCATTAACCATCCAGAGCCATAAAAAGCAATTTCTTCAGGGCTCCCTCTCTGTAAGGCTGGATTTCAAAGCAAGAAGGCTGGCCTGAGATTTAGTGGGAATATTCATAAAGATGCTCAATAAAAATAGATCTCCAGAGCACGGAAACCTTGTTTGGTTCTGGATCATATGGCAGAAGTGTTTGTCAACAGTAAGTGAAGGTCTAGACAGAAAAGAAAAGCAGATCCTACCCGCAGCACTTAGCGAAGCCTACAGCCACTGCATGGAAATTGTTAATGACAAAAAGCTTCTACCCCAGGCATTTGCCTGCGTCCTACTCCTGCCCCAGGACCTGCTTGTTTTTCATTTCTCTTCTTTTTCTTCTTCTTTTTCTGAAATCTCAGCAGCAAGGATTTCTTCATCTTCTTGGGCTGTAGAAATGACACGAATGGTGACTAAACTATCAGAAGATTTTGAGAATATTTCTTCTTCCAGGTGGGTGCGTGCTTTGTGGGAGGTGACAGGTGATCTCTGGTGCACTGGTGATTTCAGTGGGATCGGACTGAAGCTGGAACCCTGTGATTCAAAAAAAAAAAAAAAGGGAAAATCAACCTTAGCAGACCCTTGTCCACTACCCTCAACCACAGCGTCTGTGCTGTGCAAAGCCAGGCAGGCGTTTTGCCGAGTTTCACCACACCAGACCTCATCATTGGGATATCAGCTTGCCACCAAAGATGACGGCTGTGAGAAGGGCAGCTGGATTATATCCTGCACATCTTGAGAGAAGTGCATAGAGTTGAGTGCAACACTCACACTTCCTGCACCAGCTCTTGTTTTGCTCCTGAAGCCTCTGGAGGGGTTGATCTTGGCAAAAGCTTGGCAGAAGTGACAGCCCCGGACTGCCCTGTCCTAAAGACTCCTTTAGACAGGAGCCTCAGAAACCTCACCTATGGACATGCCATGGAGAGGGATGTCCTTCTAACAGGGTCCTGCTAACCTCATTAGTGGGGTTAGCTTCTAATACGTGCACCCTCCGAACAATGGGTCTTGCTGCCACGACTGTACAGAGCATGCAGTGCCACTGTTCACTGCTGCCTTTAACTGGTTATTAGTTAGTGTTAAGCACCGCATTGTGTGAAGCCTCGTCGTGCTTTTGTGAAGGACTGCAGAAACGCTGTTATGCTCGGTGTCTCCCTGGATATTTACCCAGCCTCAAGGCCACCACATGCTCCCTATCAGCTGCTTTACATGTCTGGATGTGATAGTCTGCATAACTCCATGGTGGGAAGAGTAACAACAAGGTCTGCATGGAGATATGACCTTTTTTACAAGTTCAGTAGAGACACTTGGATGGGGAAGAAAAAAAAAAAAAAAGAAGAGCAGGGCCATTTTCTTTTACCGTTGCTCATGACAAAAAAGCAAGGGTGATTTCACTGCAGCTCATGCAGAGCTGGCAGGATGGCATGCCTGCTGCTGTGGGCCTTTGCCCCGACCACACTATGAAAGCTTTGCAAGTATTGACTGGCCTCCGGATGCCAGACGCCAGCATCACCCTCTGTCCCGCCAGCACATTGATTAATTATGAGTGGCTCTGTCTCTGTGGCACAGAAGAGCTGTTCATCTGTGGCTATAAGCCCAGTGAGAAACTGTTCTCAGGCTTAGCATAGCTGGGCAAAAAGTCAATGTATTTCCCTTTTGTGTTGCAAAACAAACCCTGTGGGACAATGATGCAGCCTCCCAAGGTCATGTGGGAGATGCTGGACCACCCCTTCCTGTTTGCCCGTGCTACGTCAGACCCCAATGACCTGAGCTCACTGCTTTAAGGCACCTTAATGACAGTCTCTGGAGCTGGTTGGGGAGAGCAGCAACTCGGTGTCTAAGGAAGCAAAGCCAAACTGCCATCCTCCCCACACTGACCTGCATCGCCTGCATCGCCTTCAGCTCCTTCAGCCTCCACCGGAGCTGCGCCAGTGGCCCTTTGCCCCCCATCCTCCCTGTGGCAGCCAGGGCAGCCTGGAAGAGCTTCGGGGTGTCAGCTTTCGGGGGGATGATCAGTGGGTCTCCAGGTGCTCCCTTCTCATCTTTGGGTTTATTGTTGTTTTTCAGCATTTTTCTACAGCAAGGAAAAGGAGAGATGACTTCAGTCCAGGGACATGTTATATTAGCTGGATTTTATAATGCAGAAAATGCAGACTTTAAAAGGACAGGGATTTTTTACACCTCAGGAAGGACAGAATAACAAATCTAAGTAATGCTAAAAACTAAAGTGAATATTTTAATAGATTTTTAAATGAATATGCTTTGGCCATCTTTGATCCAGAGTTGCACCCGCTTTTAGTGGCAAAGTTTTGCAGCAGGGCTAGGCTGGCTCTGGGCATCTCCAGTCTCACCAGCCAGGTGATGAGGGATGGGTGCCTTCTGCTGAAGCACTGCAGCTCCAGCCTGGCTCTTGTCCAGGGACATATGCCTAATGCCTGGTGCCTGCAGCAGGACTTTTCCCAGTGCTTCACACAGCGAGAAATCTCCCTGCGATCTTGAAACCTGTACTCTGCTTTTTTTTAAAACCCCACAGGCTAGAAAGCAGCAGCCTGACACGCACTTGGCCTTTTTACGCAGCAGCTTCTGAGACTCCGGATAATGAACCAAAATCTCGTTCAAGTCCTTCTTATCCAAAATGAAGAGGTTAGCAAAGCCATGAGCTATGACATTTGCTGTTCGGCGATTTCCCCCTCCTGCCGCCAGCAAGCTGAGAGAGACACGGCAAGACATTAACACTGTTATTAATGGGCTCAGCACAACGTTTGTAATTTAGAATCTCCCTTTTCCCATTGTGTCCCCTCATCTCTCTCTTTCAGAGGACTCGGAGTTTAATTTTCACCCCTGATGAAATTTTCCAAGCACAATTTTTAACAAATTATGAGAAACATTGGCATGGCACGCTATATAAAAAAATTATTTGCCTTTTTGAAGGTTTAAATATTGCATTTTACATCACTCTAGTGTCTGCTGGGCTATAGGGAGGCAAACTCTATCACTGTGTTACAAATTGGTACAGGACTTCACATGCCCATGAAATGGGCAGATTAACAGCTAGGAGACTGTTTTAGTAAAACATCTTTTCTTATTCATTTTGCCACCCCTCCATATACCTCTGCTTACTGTCACTAGCTCCCCAAGCAGAAAACAGCACAATGACAAAAATAGTGGAAAAACTGCAATAAAAAGAGCTGTAATTTGTGTAGCAGACACTGGTCAGTGTTTGTGGCTCTCAATCACAAAGATTAATTAGGGTGTTGCTGATGTCCTCACCTGCCACCCTCCTCGCCCCACAACCTGCAAGCTGTATTTCCCTGGCTCCCTGGTAATGTTTCACTCACCTTATTTCTCCAAACACAGATCCGGCTTTCAGAGTCACCAGCACGGTTTTGCCATCAGGTCCACCCAGCACCTGCACTTGTCCTGCCTGAATAATGTACATCTCACGGCCGATTTCTCCCTGCAATGTAGATGGGTGCTGTGTGGGGTGCCCAGAAACAGGGAGACCTTATGGATGCCCTAACCTGTGTCTTGCTGGAAACCCCCATGACCATACTGCCCTCTCCAAGCTCTCAAAACGCTTTGAGCTGATGGTGCTCACTCCTAAGCGTCCTCATCTAAGCATCCCAAAGTCTCCTCTAGCTCTGCAGGCTCTTCCCATCTCTCCTGCTGTTCATGGATGCAGCAGAAGAGGTCAGTCTTTGCACAAGACCAGCTGCAACCAAGCATGTTTTTGCTCTGAATTCTCTCCCTGTGAAGCGGCTAGATGCCACAGTGATGGGCCAGGCCTGGCTTTCTCCCTCTGCATTGCTCCTAGTGCCCTGCACAGCCTGGCCATGACACCAGGGATGGAAGGGCACCCAAGCACCTGATTACCTTCTTACAAACGTAGTCATTAGGCAAGTAGACCACCGATCTGAGCCGTTTCAGCATATCGAAGATCATCTGCCTGTCGCAGCCCTGAGCCAAAACAGAGCCAACAGTGCCGTTATTCTGCACTGGAATGCCAGGCTCCACCGGCCAGGACCCACGCCCACAGAGGATACCTGGAAGAGGGCCACTTTGCTCACGATGTTGTAGTTCACATCGATAGCGATATCCAGCCTCATCTTGTCTGGCAGCTGCACCAGCAGCTCTGACTCATCTGTGAGACAAAGCAGAAAACTGGCTGTTTCCAGCACTTGATCTGAGAGCATGTCCTTGGTGTAGGCAGTGGGAAAGCAGCCTCTGGTGGAAGAGGGCAGGAACCAGCTCACCCAGAAGGGTCTCCTTCAGCCTCTACCCACCCAGCAACCTGCAGGTCTAAAGCCAGTGGGTGATGGAGAGCCACCCTTTGCATTATCCCTGCCCTGACAGCTCTCAGAGACAGACCAGTAAGCCCAAGCCAGGATGTTTCTTGGCCATGAGAGTGGGCACAGAGGTCCTGCCTGATGATTTACTGGTAAGGGTGAGCTAGTGGGTTTGCTGTTGGACACGCTCTGGCCAACGATTGTCAGTCACTGCCCTCTCCCCAAGAACTGGCAGGTGGGATGCTGGACTTGGCACGCTGTGAGTGATGCCGAGTCACCAAGGTGCTGCAACCTGGTGGCAGTCTATATACTCTATTGGTGGACAAACAAGCCCATATAGCAAAGACTAAAATAAGCCATGCCCCACCCCAAAACTGTAGTGCTATTTGACAGTAATGTTTCAGCTCTGCAGAGCAACAGCTGTGGTGCAAGTGGTGCATGTGGCGCATGTGGTGCAAGTGTCGACCCTTGGAGCAGTTGGATCTCACCTAGCATGCCTTGTGAATGCCACGTGTACTCATACCATGTTTTCACCCGGTTCTGAACAGTTTTGGGGATTTTGTAGAAGTTCATGTATTTAATGGTACTGTCCATGCAGCTCCGATAGTAAGTTTGCCCTGCAGTAGCAGCACCGACCACATCTCTCATCTAAATGGGAGGAAGGGGTGAAAGAGGTGTTTTAATTTCTGTTGCTTATCCATCATGCAAGTTAAGCAGTCTAGAGCACGTATGCTGAGTCCTAACAGCATCTGCCAAATCCTTTTTGTCTTCCACCAGTGCAGAGCAGGTCTTTGCACTGGGAAAACAAAGCTGGAGATACAAACCTGTGGACCAGCCCCACTGAAACATTCCCCACCTGAGGCTGGGAACCCCTGTGACTCCTGCTCACCTGCCCTATCATGACAGAGAAAGCAAAGACGCCCATGAAGTAGTTCAGCAGCTGAAAGACGATCTCAAACAGGGTCTTGGGGTCTGGCAGGCCCCCGATGGTGATGAGGGTTTTGACTGCCCAGTAGTAGCAGCGGATGTAGCTGGGAGGAGAAGAAGAGGCGGCTTTGAATGCATTTCTGGCTTGAAGGCCTGTTTCACCCCTCGGTACCAAGCTCACATCCTCTGGCCATGGCAAGCCAGAGACTGCTGAGAGTGATTATGGGTGATGAAGGGAAAATTAAGGGGCTGCAGATTCCCCACCACACCTGCAAGTGCTTCTGGAGATTCTATAGGGTGCTATAGACCCTCCAGAAAGGTCTGCGTGGGATGCTCAGCTGCTCTGGCTACTCCCATTTTCTGCTTATTTCAGCCCCACTACTATAAAGCAGCAACATATTTTCAGCAACATTTACACTTTTAGAAGTAGTTAGGGAAAAATGTGTTTGTGAGCAAATTGTTGGCATGGGACTCAGGAGATGTCAGCTGAATTCTTGATTCACTGTTCTTGGGCAACCCCTTGGATGTTATAGTTACACCTAGAGATAGACACAGATATGTGTATCACAGAAAATAACTACACAGCAGCAAAATTAACATAGGAAGCTGAGTGCTCAAAGGAAAGGCAACACCTGACTAAGCCTGCCTGGGTGACAGTCACTTGTCCCCACCTACACCCACACCTCTACAGTAAGTCTTTAGTGCCCTTGCCCATGTCTTTTTCCAGGAAACTCTCATTTACTGCATGGTGCTAAATTAGTTAAATGTTACTCAGTATTTTATTTTGCCCATGTTGTACAACTTGCAGTTGTGGGCATTTGCTACGAGGCAGCATTCAAGCTTGCAAGCCAGGTGCTCTCCCTGTGGCATCCATCACTGACAGTGCAATGAACATTTAGCACATGTATCTTGGAAATGCCACAGCAAGGGGACGGGTGGCCACTGTCCCTGGGAATGAGGGTGCTGGGCTGATCCAAGGGGCCTGTCACATGGGTGTGCTATGCTGCATCAAGCCCTTAGGTTCAAAGCACAGCCCCCCATCTCCAAGCACAGCTTCAAGCCTCCATCCCGACCTGGCAGCAAGTCAACGCAAACTGAAACGGGGCTCACACCGCTATCCTGCTCAGTTAGGAAGTGTTTCCTTGTTTCCCAGCACCAGATTCCCAGTTTTTCAGCCTCTTTGACCTGCCATTGCCTTCCACCTCAGCCCAGCTGCAGCCTCCTCATCTTGCAGCACTGTATATTACTGCACATCCCATCTCTCCTCTCCCCATCATACTCCCTGGCTCTTCATCTTCTCCTGGCACTCCAACCCTTTGCTTCAGGGTTCTTTATGAACTCAGCTGCATCCTAATACCTTCCTTCTTGCTCCAGCCCATCACAGCAAGCTGTGCTACATAAGGACCCAAGCCCTGGCTTGTACCTGTTTCCTTCCCCATCGTAGACCCAGGTGGTAGAGCCCAGTCCTTCGTAGGCTGATGCCCAGTAATAGAGGCAGGAGTTCACATGCAAGCTGTACAGTAAATAGGCAGTTGTCCGGATCACTCTGAAAAAAAAAAAAGGAGAGAGCAGGAAGGGAGGTGATATGGTGTCTGCTGGGAGAAACACATCAGATCCCCCCCGGCATCACAAGGAGCTCTGAAGCGATGAGATGAGTGCTGACCATGCAGGTCCTGCCAATGCAGGAACCACAGAGCACCCAAATGTGCAGCCCCACTGCTCCCTCCTGCAGCCCTGCAGCTCTAGAAGTGCCAGAAAAAGCAGCTTATCCACTGGTGGTTCCTCTTCACCACCAGCGCCCCTGTCCCCACTGGGTCAGCAAGAGGTGATCCTACCCACGCAGGCTCCAGGACCCCCAAATGCCACCTGCATCAGACAACACCCATGTCAGCCAGTCCAGGGACAGTGGAAAAATAAATCAGAGAGCCAGAATGGGTGCACACCAAAGTGAACCTTCCTCCCCAGTAGCAAACAGCAACTCCACACTCTCTCCCTCCCTCCATTCCCCTCACCTGTAGATGTACGCCTTGCTCAGGATAGCTTCCAGGCGGTTGTTGAACTCAAAGAAGGCCATGTACTGGGAGGAGAAGGAAAGCAGGGTGCTCCAGCTTCCTGCGGCCCCCACCAGGAGAGTTACATGCCCATAAAACCCACTCCCCCTCCATTTCCCTCCTGCAGCCCCTCTGCAGCATGAATTGCCACAGACAGGTTTGGCTCCATCTATAAATGCCCTTCTATTCAAATGTGAGCGTGTTTTAGGATTGAAATGAAGTGTTTGACCAACAGCCCTGCAAAGCCTTCAGGACGAGACTTCCCATCCATTTTACAATCCTCTTGTCATCACTGATGAGTCTAGCAAGCCACAGCTTACCCCAGCTAGCATGGGACTCCTTCACATCCACTGCAACTGGTGTTCTGCCTGATTTTGTAAGCTCCAACTCACCTTCAGACAGCGAGGAAAACGCAGGAGTGGGTTGACACCGACTTTGAAATAGAAGAAATCCAAGGGCAGGAGGCACACCACATCCATCTGAAATCCACACAAAGAGAGAAACCTCTGTGGGGACCTGCAGGCGTGTTGCGGTGAAGCTGCAAGCTGTGGTTCAGATTGAAGACTCAGATTAATAAATAAAATTATGTCGAACCTTAAAGCGTTGTGATCGCAGGTAGTTGTCTTTCATGGCCTTTTTATCTGTCTGGTTGGGAATAGGAGGGAGAGAGAGAGGAATATTGATCATTGCTTACAGAAGGGAAAGTCATGGCCAACATGGTCATGCCTGGCTTTCCTCTTCTGCACCACAACAGGCAAGATGCTCCCTTTGTGCCTGGGAAGGGGAGCAGAACAAAAGGAGCAGAAGGAGGCCTGGCCATATGCCATCTTCCTATCCTATCTCGGGACACCTTGTGCTTGTTTTGCATCCCAGAGAAAGCACATTGCAGTGCCAGTGCCACAAAAATCAGAGTTTACAGGAGAAACCTCCCTGTCTGAGCATTTGCATGTTCAATGGGAAGGCAGTACTCTCAAGGTTTTTTCACAGCTTATTTAATTGAATATGGAAATTAAATCAAGGGCTTTCACTTATCTCAGATGCATCATCTATGCATTCAGATTGCAATTGCTTTTGTCATATCACTAATGCATTCTGCCTAGCTGTGCTCCTGAAAATTAAACCCAGAGTTTATTATGCTGTCTGCTCATGGTTAGCAGCGTACAGCTGCACCGGGGCTGGTCAGCATGCACCTCACTGCACGGCTGGCAGGACTGCCCTGTGGAGCATCCCTACCCAGGAACAGGGCCACCATGGACCACATGCTTTCTAGATGGGCTGGTATTGACTTTAGGGGAAAAACACGTGTGTTTGGGCAGACATAAAGACTGCCAGCCTATCTGCTACCTGGTAGGAGAGGTGCTTGCAGTCCTCCAAGAGTGGCCACAGACATGGTGAGAGAGCTTGGAGAGCTCAATTCAGAGATCAGTGATCAGCTCCATCCATGCCCCTCAGGGTGATGGGGATGGCAGGTCCCCACAGCCGGTCCCCAGAGGTGGGATGCAGCACACTGCCACTCACTATTATGTCTCCCCCCTGGATAAACTGCAGCCGGGTCTGAAAGATGAGGATATCCAGCAGATAGACGAGGTCACAGAGGTAGTCCACAAGCAGCCAGCAGTGGATGTTTGCTGGTGTCTGGTAGGGGAAAGCCCAGCGGACAGGGATCAACCAGCAGTTCCAGTTCCAGGCCATGACAACGAAGAACAGCCACAGCACGTACATCAGGTCTGCACACAGAGAACCACACCACGATTAGCTGGGTACACATCCTTTGTCCGTGTGAAGCTGTTAAGCAAATGGGTTTTAAATCCCCTGCCCTGCCCTGAGTGTAAGGAGGAAACCTGCAGGAGGTCTCTTATCGATAGCATTTAATTGCAAGTGACCTGGGCTCTAGATGCAAAGTGAATACCACTGGTTGCAGAGCACATTGCTTTTTATCAGAAAGCCTTTCCTAACTTTGCTGGTTATACTAGGTTTGCTCCCACAATACCAAATTTCTTGCTTTGCTTTTTTCCCCTTGAGGCTGTGCTGAGCCAATGGCTGGCTGCCCAAGCCTGGGGACTTTGAAACAGCTGTAAAATAGCAAAGACTAAGGAAGGAGCTGGGTTCTTGAGGGGTGTCCACCAGACAGTGGATTTTTCTTTTATGATTTTTATTTTTATTTGGTGTGTCCACACCACAGGGAGAGCGTTTACCCACTAAAAGTCCTGAAAAGCAGAAAGCGGCTGCCCCTTCTCTGCCTGGTCGTGCTCCTGACACCCACAACTATTGGGAAGTATTGAGGAAATCCTGTGCCTTGCAGGGGAATTTAAAGCTCTGTCTTTTTAGTAGACAGGTGTAAGCCAAGTTGCTCCTTCCTTACTTGTCCTCCTTTCTCTACAAGGTCTCATCCTTTACACCTCCTCCCCTCCCACTCTCCCCCGGTCCCACCAGCTTGCCCCCAGCTTGGGCGCATGGCCATGCTCCATCACTCACTGGTGAGCGGGTCGATGCTGCTGGGGAACTGGTAGTTTTTCAGGTGGTCCAGCCAGGGCTGGTACTTGAATGTGCAGCACAGCATCTCACAGTAGTGCTCATCTGCCGGCTTGATCCCCTCCAGCTCCCCTCCTGGGGGAGGCACCAGTGCTGTCACAGGTGCTGGCTTGGTAGGTGCTGGGAGAGGCCACACAGTTATTTTAAAGGGCAGAAAATCATCTTAGGTCAATTTGTTTTAAGGACTTTAAATTGTTAATAAAGCAGCTGTCTCCCTGAAAACACAGCATGTGTGTGGACCCAGCAGTTAAATGCTCCCAGTCCCACTTGAACTCACATGCTGCAGGGCTCTCATCATCCGAGGTGACTTCAGGGTTGGTTAGCTTCTCCTTCACCTTTTCGGTCCTCTCTTTGAAGAGTTTCACCAGCTCCTGGAGCCGGTTGTTGATGATGGTGCTGCTCAGGCTCGTGGCTGAACCAATGGGCTCGGACAGGCTGTGAGAAGACCATCAGCTATTTCATGCAGATAGCAAAGCCCAAGGGCAGGTTCATGACCCATTTTCTAACCTACAGGATCCTGAATTAGGATTTACCGATATTTATTTGGCTATTGTGTAATCAGAGGAACACAAGTTAAGGTGGTTTCAGTAAAATACCATCAAGCAGCACCAGCCTGAGCCTCATCCTTGCTCCGGGGTGTGAGATGCCCTCAGAGGGACTTGGGAAGCACCAAGATCACAGGCTGGATTGCATGTGCTTGGGAGAAGATTTTGGAAGAACTGTGGGGTGAAAATGTGCACCAAACCATTGAATTTATAAACTATATTGTCTCTTTTCAGCCTCTTTATTAAAACTAGGTTGGATTCAGACCAGGATGCTCTGCCTAGCGTGACTGAGAAGCATTACTACGAGGGAGGACAAAAAAACCTCATTTGCTGTAGCTCCAGGCTGGTTCATTGTGATGATTGGCACAATGATTTCTGCCCAGGAAGAAGGCAAAATCCTGCACCATGTAGACATGCAGACCCTCCCCAAGACCTTGCCTCCCAGGGAGGGCAGCTCCCTCCAAGGTTGTCCCCTGGGGCTGAAGGGAAACCAGGACCTGGGGTGCATGATGCACAGCTTGTGCTCACTTCCTACATGGAAGAAAAAGGTTATTTCTCCACAATCAGTAACAACAAGGTGTCCCCATAGTGCTATAGCATATGTAGATCAAAGGTGCATCTTCTCTGTGGTTAAACCTAGTCTAAGTCTAGTCTAGAATATTTCTACCTGGATACAGGAAAAACAAGAGAACGGTTTCTGCTCCAGGGAGCATTGTGATAATTTTTTTTGGACAGGGGGTGCATTACTTGTCACACAGTGCTAGACCCACTGTGGGCACGGCTCTTTCTCCCTTCAGTATCCCAGCACTTCTAGGATCTTTGCTATTTCTACCCGAGCCCCAAGATCTGAACCCGTGGGAGCTTGGCTGATCCAGACGCCCTTTGTTCCACCACGCACCTTTCCCTCTGCTCCTTGTCCCAGCCCAGCAGCGCTCGGGTGGGGGACTGGCTCACCGGTCCCATGTCCAGACCATCTGCTGGGGCCAACAGCTTCCTCCTGCAGACACAAACACAGTGACTGAGGCTCAGCTTGTCCCCTGTCCTCAGCCAGCTCCTCTCCCTCCTCCTCCTCCTAGGTTTCATCTGTTTCCACTTCCCCTTCTCCTACCAGGGTCAGTTTTCCCCCAATTTTTCACATTGCCTGAAGTCAATAGGAACAAACCACCCTGCTCCTTTGCTGCTAAAGCTCTGTTCCTTCCTAGGCACAACTGAGCAAACGGCTGCACAGGTGTGCAGCCACCTGGCCCATTTTGCGACCCATTTTGGGCACCTGGCAAGATGCATGGAGGGCAGGCACCTCTCCATGCTTGTCCCCATCATGCCACTGCACTTTGAGAGGCAGGCAAGGAAAATGCAATACCAGTAAGGTGGAGCAAGAAAGTGAAATTTGGAAAGAAGAGAGGGTACTGGGGACACCACCTGGCTCTGAGCTGGCTCCATAGCACCATAAACCTCTGAGATAAAGAGTAAATTGTAGAGCAGTGGGTACATAACATTGACCCTCTAATGGCTGCTGACACCTGCAAAGCCAAGTGCAAACTGCAACAGCCAAGAAGAATGGCTCCAGGTTCAAGGGGAGCACTATAAACACTGTCCCGGTGATGCTGAGCCAGTGGCAGCTGATGTCTTCCTAGAAGATGTGTCCTAATGCAGCTGGTGGCTCCCTCTGGCACAGAAGGGTTTCTGGGACAACTTCCTTACCTGTGGGCAAGTAACGTGGCAGAAAGAGATCTAAATATGAAGATGATAATCATGGCAAAAACCTGGTTCGCAAACCTTCAGTCAAGTCCAGAGTTTTAACTGCGACAAAGAAATTGTCTTCTGCCACCACAGCTGTTGCTCTAAATTAGCCAGGATTTCACTGACCCTGGTGCAAAATGAGTCGGTGCTGCATGTTGAGCGGGAGCAAGCAGGACGCTGAGGGAGGTCGTCCTGCCATCGCAAGTTTCCTGAAGCAAGCCAAATGTGATGAACTCACCCTCCTCCAGCCTTGCTGGCTCTCAGGCATGCCCTGCTGGGAAGGGGAGCAGATGAACAAGACCAACAAACCTTAATTCCCCAATGCACAGTGTAGGGGCAGAGGAAAACCACCAACACCCCTGTTAAAGTACCCTCAGATGTGGATGAAGAGGTTCCCAAAACCACATCAGTTTGGAGAAATAGTTCTGCCAATGTCCATTGATGTCATTAGGACAACATCCATCACCTCTCACCATTCTCCAGCTGCCCTTCCCCTGCTTGCTGCCCCCTCGGGGCACTGCGCTGCCCCATTGCCCATCCTCTTCCATGAGGAGGCCCAAGATGCCTACATGGACAGACCAATGGCCGCTTGCTTTGTAAGGGGGACCCTGCAGAGACGGTATCGCCATCCCTGCTCTTTGCCAGTGGCATGACTACCCACAGGCCGCAGAGCTCGTGTGGTCACCCTTCCGAGTACATGCAAAGCTTTGTGTGTCAGCATCCATCTGGGAAAAAATGCCTCTTTTTGTTTCAGATTAATGGATGCCCTTGGAAAGATAGGAGATAAAGGTCCCCAGGAAAGCTGTAAATCCAGAGGCACAGGAAACATCCCTCAGTGTTCTGTGGTGCCGGCAGTTCACCCTCGTTCCCAGCAGACACAGATGTGAGAAGGAGCAGGAGTGACCCAAAAAGCAACACAAACTTCAGCCAGTTTTGGAAACTGGTGGATGAAGGGCTCAGAGGGAACCTGGGACGTTACATTAAGCCCCATGGAGAAGCTCATGTATGTGCAACCCTAAGTCCAAAACCCTGGCAGGTCTAGAGGCTTCTCAGTCATCTGTGGGAAAAAAGGGAACCTGGATGATAATCCCCTGGAAAACATTCAGTCCTTTGATACAGTCCAGCTGCAGGGGACATTTTTGGGGACAGGACTTCCAGACTGCTGGTCAGAATGGTACTAAAAACTAGATTTTTTTTTCCACTGATGCATGAAGACTTCAAACTGTATCTACTACGATATGAAGCAACACAAGAGATGCATAGCTAGTGAAGAGGAGGAGTGTATGTAGACCAAGTAAAAGCTAAAGGTGAAAGAATAAATAAATAAATAAATAAATAAATAAATTACTAGTAAATAAATTGAGAAGTAGAAGTGTGCAGCACAGGCACAAAGAACTCACAAACTCCCTTGCACAAATGCAGGAAGCCAAGTATGAAAGAATTTGAATACAAGCAATAAAAATGTAAATTGCCACCTCAAGAGACCAGGTGGAGAGCACAATTGCCTAAATAAACCTATAGGGTAAGCAACATGAGACCAGCAGCCACTGCCTGGGCTTGGCCATTGGTGTGGACCGTGGGTCACTGCTCTGATGCTGCCCAGAAGCGAAGCCTCCAGCTATGCTCAGGTAGCTCTGCAGCACCAGCCACCATGCAACCATCCACTGAACAGCCAGCTGTGATGGAAGACCCTGTTGCAGCCTAAACATTGCTCCATTTTCAATGCCCTTGGAAAACTGCGGCCATAACCACCAGGCTGTCCTGTGCCTGCCTGGAGCAATGCGGGATGCGCAGGGTCCCTTATAAAGGGCCCTGCCCATACAGCACTGTCAGGTGTATCTTGATATTTATCACCTGCAAGAGCCTGTTTCCAGGCACCAGTTAGAAAACATGTGTCTTGTTTGCGGCGAGTCTTTCATAACTGTCTAAATGTTAACCCTAATCCTTCACAGGCCCATGTAGGAAAAAGTCTCAAGACTGTGGTCGATAGAAGTGACTTAGGATAACTGGATGATTGCTCAATGCAGAGTTGATGTCCTCTTCCTCCGAAAACACCACCTGGAGCTGAGCATTTCCCTTCTGGTTGAGAATGATGAAATTTTATTTCTTTATGTAGTGAAATAGTAGTTGCCTGCTTTTAAAAATCTCTAGCTCTACCAAGGGACCTCCAGCATTGTCTTGAGAGATGCTACCTGGAGACATGGCAGAAAGATTCATATACTCATACATGTAACTGCAAATATACAACCTGCTTTAAGAAATTGGTAGAAAATAGCATGAGAAAACTGATGTGCTCCAAAAAATGTCTCTACTGGGGAACCATAGGATCACAGAATGATTTGGGTTGGAAGAGATCTTTGGAGATCATCTAGTCCAACCCCCCTGCCATGGGCAGGGACATCTTCCACTAGATCAGGTTGCTCAAAGCCCCATCCAACCTGACCTTGAACACTTCCAATGATGGGGCATCCACAACTTCTCTGGGCAACCTGTTCCTGTTTCTCACCACCCTCACCATAAAATATTTCTTGCTTATGTTCAATCTAAACCTACCCCTCTTCCATTTTAAAACCATGTCCTCTTGTCCTGTCACTACAGGCCCTGGTAAAAAGTCTTTCTCTGTCTTTCTTATAAGGGCCCCCCCTTATATATTGAAGGGCTGCAAGAAGGTCTTGATAAAACACTTGATAAAAAATAATGGTGGGGACAGAATCGTACATAGATAAGTGGATCTAAGTAAACAAAGGTTGTGCCTTTGGATTGCCAGATCCTGGGCTCCAAAGATGCCCAAGATGTGCTGTGATGCATGATATGGGTGTTAATCTGAATTGTTGTCCATTTTCTATGTTGGTTGAAGGCATAAGAGAAAGCCCAGCACCTCAACCCTGATTCAAAGATGGATGAACATCTGCAGCAAAGTCACAAGTCCCAGGGAGAGGGGAGCTACACAGCCTCATCTGCTGTGCAAGGAGAGAAGGACAAACTTAGACTTTAAATATTCTCGTGATGGGAAATAATCTCAAGGAATAAGGTCAGAGGCAGTTATTTACAAGAACAGAGAGACCTTGAATCAGGTGCCCAAGCAGAGGCACCCTGTGCCTTTTGGGAGACCTCCCAGGACAAACTGCAGATGCTGCTAAGGAGAGAGCTGCAGAAAAGCCTCTGCACCCTGCTGGGGAGAGCTGGGATGGGCACACCACACCAGGCACGGGGCACAGCAAGAGCTGCTGTGCCTGCTGATGGGATTGGAAAACGTGGACTTTTCTGTCTCAGAAAAATAACCTGTGCTGTTCATTAACCTAAGAGAGAAAAACGCATCCTGAGCAACAACTGCCAAAGGCGTTTCCCCAGACTGATCCTGAGCGCTCTGTGACTGAGGATGTGAGCCTCAACTGCTCTCCAGCGACAAGCTTGTCACAAGACAATTTTCATTGCTGGGCTAATAGAAAAAAGGCAGTGAGATTCAGCAGGCTTTAAATAACTGGCCTCTTAACACTGTCAGTATTTGCACCACAGGTATTTCATATGGCTCCTCAGGCTCTGCTTTCCCAGTTTAAAAAGCTATTAAACAGACTGGATTATGGGCATTTTTGCCATTTTATTTTCAAGTCCTCCAGGAGCTTGTTTACTAAAAGATCCAAACTATTGAGGATGACTATAACACCTGGTTTTCAGCACAGAAAAAAAACCACCTTGGTTTTTATTTTTAATCCTCTGCAAGAATGAGCCTCAAAGAAACCCCAACAACAACCAAAAAAACACATTGGCTTCCTCCAACCTCAATTTTAAAGCTCAGTTTTAATCTTTCCCCTGCAAGCATCCTTGATCCAAAGGCACAAACCAAGGGCAGAGATGCTGCAAACCCTTTCAGCAAAAAAGCAGGAAGAAAATTGTTGGGTTGCATGATGAAGGCCTGTTATCCAGCACACAGACCACCATGCTCCAAATTTGGAAGCACAGATGTGTGGGACAACAGACAAATGGGATCTGACCACCGCCTGGGGATTGAGCCCATCTCCAGGGGGACACAACAGACAGGGCTGTCCCAGCCCCCAAAAGCTTTAAACAAAATTTAACCATTTAACTAAAAAACGCAAACAAGAGGCAAGGTTTTTGCCATCTCTCCTGTCTTACACAGGGTGACACCCGCCACACACACATCACCCCAGCTCACTGTCCAAAGCTGCCAGAAACAAGTTGCTCTGTACGGTTGAATAAATTTTCCTGTACCGGCACCATCAGGGGGTGAGGACCCTGGGAGCCAGGGACTGCCTGGGCAGAGCCGTACCTGGGGGATGCTGGCACCATGCCAGGCACTGCCAGCATGTTGGGAGCACCAGCAGCGGGCACCAGTAAGTGGGTACCATCGTTCTCCAGACCATTGCCTCCGGTGTCCACATCCTTGATGTCCACAGTCGGGTAACTGCCTGGCCCATGGAGAAGGACAATAATTGCAGGTGAGAGGGGCACAGGGCCTGGCCTGAAGCCAGGATGAATCCCCAAGTCCCATTGTCTCTGCAGAGCTGTCCCCAAACCCCATAGCATGCTGGAAGAACCTTCTTTTTCCCTCCATTCCCTTCTCACCTGGCACTTCTTTCTCCTAATGGCTTGGAGCATTTCTTTCTCTTTTTTGCCTAGTTTTTAACACTATAAAAAGGGCCACCTGCTTCCCTTCTGCTTTCTCAGCTTGCAGTGATTGCAACTACTCTGTGCAAGTGCTGGGTTCCCATGGTTCGGAAGTTGATGGAGGCAAGGATTACCACCTGCAGGAACCCAGGATTTCCAGCTGCAAACGTATCTCCCAGGGTCTAGAAGATCTCCTGGGTCTTCTGAACATAAAACATATGGATTATACAAGCTCCAAATTACTGCTTTTCATGCAGAATAAGGCACTATGTAAATAAACACTTATGGCCTCTCTCTTTTGCAGTGGTAACAACTGCTTCCTGCCATAAGCAAGGTTAGAGGCAGGAAGGTTGGATGTTTATAGTGAGTAAACAGAAATGCCAATGGCCCAAGGGAGAAATAGCACCAGGGGCTATTTTGGCTAGACGCTGCAGCCGGCCGGGCTGTGAAGTGTCATCCTTTTTCTTAGCTATGTAACAAAGTGCAATGAGTTTCTGCAGGATTTCTTGTAAGGGAGGGTTCACATGTCTGAAAGACACCATGCGTCCCCTCCTGTCCCACACTGATGTGGAACCAGTGGATCAGAGCATGGTTTGATCAAATCACAGAGAAAAGGCCTGTTTGGGTTGCAAATTTAAAATCCCATTGCATGTAAGGAAAAACAGCAGAATTTGGCTTGCTGGTTAAAAACAAAGCAAAGCAAAGCTACAGAAACATAATTTGTACTTCTGGGTTAAAAGGCAGAAAACTGAACAGCAAACCTACTGTCGTCTTAGTATGAGTGGGTTGCACAAATGCTAAGGAGAAAACTGAGTGTGCAGTAGTTATTTAACCCTCTGCCTGCAGGCTCTTTGGGAGAGTTTTTGGCCAAGCAGGTCAAAATATATAGCATATAATTTACAGATATTTGTAAACAGTCTCTAGGGGTTAGCTAGAAAAGCACATAGTGATGAGAAGGAAGAAGAAAAAACATGAATTTTGTTCCCTAGCCTCTGTGCTGCAACATGAAGCATGCTTTTATTTATTTATTCCCCAAAAAGCAACTACTCCAGGAATAACCCCTTGGCCCCCCCTCAAGCTACGCAAGTCCGTCATGAAAGCCAACATCTCTAATACCTAGGCAGGATTGCTCCTCATTGCAAAAATTAGGGTTGACAAGTCCCGCCTTTGGCTTGCTGGCGACAAGGATGGGGATGCGGGAGGCAGCGGTGGCTTGGTAGCTGGGGACATTGGGGAGCTGCTCTAGCACGCCATGACCAGGAGGGGAGGCATCCCTGCCATCGAGCGGCTTGTCATGCACCAGCCAATCTAGCTCAATGTCTCGGGCACACTTGGACATGCTGCTAGGCGCCTAGGTGCTTCAAGCAAAGGACAAGGCATCTGAAGCTGCAAGAAAACACAGAGTGGTTTGACACGGGATGGTTATGTCAGCACAGAGAAATGCAGGGCTCCTGGGGTTTTTGTTGCTGCCCACCACTCACAGATGTTGGTAGCACAGGACAGTGGTGGTGAGCATCCTACCACGTGTTTTTCTAGGGCTGCTGCAAGACTGGGGTGCTCTGCAAGGGCTGCATGAGCAGAGGAATCTCCAGCCTGTACCAGGGCTTAGGTCAAGTCATCCCTTCTGCAATGCAACTCCCCGACGTCGGTGGAGTTATGCCAAGACCTGCCTTTGCTCACTCAGGCTGTGATGGGAGCTCACCACCTAAGTTTCATTACCAACCTGTTAACTGTTACAAAAGGTTATATTAAAACGCACTTTATGCCAGTAGTTATTTCCCAAATTAAGCAAAGAGGTAGAGAAAACCCTTTTTATCCACCCCCCCTACATTCTTCAGTTGAAGGAGAAACTCACTCCTATTTCACATCAGAGATTGCTTTATCAACAAGACTAAGTACTGCGTTAGCACCAGCCTTTCAGAGCTGGCTCCAGCTGATGACAATATTGCCATCACATCGTGCCCACGGGATGCTTTAGGCTAGAGAAATGCCCCAACTGCTCACGCAGGCCCACGCTACAGAAAACTCAGCTGCCTGCTCCCTGACAGTGAGCAGTTGGGAGGAAGAAGCTGCTTTTTCCCCTTGCTGGACATCACTTTGCCTGCTTCGGTTCATCCTAATTTGACATTATGCTGCTATATATTATACCTTTGGCATCAGTTTCAGCAGCTTCAGCTGTCTCCTCTTCCACCTTCAAAATGAAAAAAGCCATTTTAAGGAGAGAAAGACCTGTTCTGTAAGTAAAACAGCAGACTTTGCAGCTTGATTGGGTGCCCCATATCCCCTGACCTTTCACCAGCCTCTCAGCTTGTTGTTCAGTGCCAACATTTTAGGGTGAAAGCATCCCTCCCTTAGTGCACAGCTACTGCTGCTGTCTCAGGTTCAGAGATGGGGACATCCCGGTGGGAAACATTTCCAGTTCCCCTCTCAGTCCCTGATCCTCACCAGGGCATTGTGTCCCCCCCAGGACAAACTCTGAACCCCCAGCATGCGCTGGGCAGCAAGAGCTTATTGCAGACCTGAGCCCAAGCAGGGACAACGCCATACCTGTACAAAACCACCTTCAAGATCACTTATCTCAGCTTCTTCCAGCTGCTCAAACCCGAGGGCCTCCTCTGCAAAGTAGACTTCATCCTCACCCTCGTCAGCGGTGAGACAAGGTGACCAGAGCAGGGGTCTGGATGGTACAGATCAAGCAAAGACAAGCACCTGAGCTCGCTTTTGCCCTTTCTGAGGTTGGGCACGTTGCAGATGGGGGGCATCACGTCAATGGGGGAGCATCAGGTGAATGGGGATGATGCATGGCTGCCCCAGTTTCAGGGAGCACTGCTCCTCCAGCTGCTCTGCAAGCCCCATTTGCAGGCGAACAATACCACAGAAGTCTTAGTTTTATACAGTAGCAGTACAAAAAAAATTGCTGCTTAGTTTAGAAAAGGCTTGGAAAAAATACTACGTGGGAGACCAGGTGAGAGGTGCATAAATAATGCAGGGCATTGCATATACATAGCAAAAATTGCATATGCAGAAAGATACAGGCAATATGTTTCTCCTCCTGTGCATAATAATTTCTCATATAATTAAAATTTGCCAAATAAAAAGCTGACAGCCTAATTTCCAGGCAGGCCTGCCCTTCAAGCACCATCCAAATCCCACGTTTGCCTCTTCAAGACACATAATTCTCATTTTCCTTCAGCAGCAAACACAGACTCAGCTCCACCATTCTGACAAAGGGGGCTCACAAGATTAATTGTATTGGTTTAATGCAACTTTACAACTGAAAAAAAAAAAAGCCTCGTCATGTTGTTCTGGGCACTTATCTCCCAATTTGCTCTTTCCTGGCAAGAGACGCAAAGCAGGGATTTGGGATAATGAAAAATTTTAAGGCAGCTAAATGCATGAAAACTGAAAACATCTTTCCGCATCCTTGGCATGTCCTAAGTCAGAAGTTGTATGTAACAAGCAGTGGCTGCTTTTTCTCTTTTATCTCCATGTCTTGAAAAACTGTTGTTTTCCAAGGTCTTTTTTAAAATTATTTTTAATAATCCCCCCCACCTTTTTTTTTAATTAGGCTTCCTTCAAAAACAATCTCAAGTCTTTTCATCCTAATCTAGAAAACCTGTTGAGGTCTCTCTTTTCCCATAAACAGACAAACACACTGAAGGATGGAGCAGTATCTCATTCACCCAAAAACTGAAGCTCAGGTTTCTATAGTAGAGCTCCAGGAACAGATTTTGATGAAATAAAATGATATGGGTTTAACAGTGAATAATCATGTGTTTTCAGCTTCTTCCTGAAAATCTAGCTACTTCAGAGGAATTAACAGAGAATATTATAGCACTAGGTAATTAACCTCTAAATGTTTATCTCACATGAAATCAGAGCAAGCCACTAAACCAAGCAGAAAGATTTTTCTAAATACCATTGAATCCAAAGCCACCACCTACAACAGCTGACAATAACCTGTCTGTTTTCCACAACAGGAAAAAATGTAAAATCATACCTCCTTGTATTAAGTAGCATTTGCAGGTACAACACATAATCCTGTCTTTAAATTCAGCTCTGTGATACTCATAATAATTCCGACTGCCCTGAATTAATGGATATGTTTTTAAATAACATGGACCCTCTCCAGGAGCTGGGTGCTCCCAGCTCCTGATGAAGGCACAAGCCAGGGCTCCTGCTTGGTGAAGCCACCGGCCCCCATGAGAGAGGATGACCAGGGGCTGCGGTTGCTATGGGCAGCCACGATGGAGATGGAGCCCATGTCACCAGGAGACACTCGCCTGTCACCAGGTGCCACGTCAGCAGCGAGCCCTGGGGTGAGCCGGTTTGCGAAAGCGTCCCTCCTGAATGCATGCCTCCCAAACACCAGGCTGGGGAGCTCCGCTCTGACAAGAGGAGCTCGCTTGTCCACGGGTGTTTCAGCCTCTCCGGCATGTGAATGCAGCTGAAACAATTGCGTTCATGCTCATTTCCAACAAAGCCATAAAGGCAATAGGAGCCACTCACCCTGCACTCTCCTCCACCTCCTCCTCTTTCTTCTCCTCCTCTTCCTCCCCCTCCTCCTCCTTTTCCTCTTCCTCCTCCTCCTCAGCAGCACTCAGGGAGCACAACCACAGCCTGAAAAGGAAAAACTCATTAGGTGAAATCCAAAAAGCATGTCTGAACCTCACAAGAGAAGCACTGCCAAGTCTACACGCTCCCTTTGGCCAGAGATGCTCTCCCTCCATCCCCCAGCCAGCATCCTGGGGAAAACGTGCTTGGACACAAGGCATATGCTATTTCACAGCCCATTAGTGTCTGTGGCCTCAATGGGGTGGGAGGAAGGATGGGAAAAAGTTTGGGAACACAAACCCAGAGTCCTAGAGCCTTCAAATTCTCCTTGCACCAGAGGGAGAGGATGTGCTTAGAGGTCACTTGTTACTGATTTTGACCAAAATTAATGAAATCCTCCCTCCTGGACAGGATGTGCTTGCTGCCCACAGTTCTCAGACTTGTATACTAAGGGGAAAAAAATCTGAAAAGTATTTTTATAACATGTCCAGTGTTTTCTGGCTGAGCAGAAGAGAGCTCTGCTGAGTGAATGTGGCATCTCTTGTGTTTAGTGCACTCAAGCATCGCCCATGTCAGAGGCAGGGACTGCTGTACTTGCCCTCCCCTACAAGTGTGCTATGAGCATTTTGGGGGGCTCCCAAACCCTTTGGGAGTGTGCATGGACACCTCTCATCCCCCTGCTGCAACACAGCCTGCTCCCGGCTCTGAATGCATTGTCCAGCCCTCAGGAGGACCTCAGCAGGGGTTTCTTTTGGAAGAAGCAGAATGAATTATATAGAGAAGACTACCATTTCCAAATGTCATGACAGCTGAATGCGCAGTTGAGAGGCACGAGGTCCAAACCCTCTTGCCTTAGGGCCAAAATCTACTTACAGGAAGCCTGAGCAGAGCCTCCTTCATCTGCCCTCTGCAGGGCAACATAAAGCATTGCATTCATGGCTCTGCCACTGCCTGCCCAACCCAAATCTCAACACCAGGAAAGGCATTGATGACAAAACCTTTTGGGTCCTTCTGGTGCCCCCGCTCTTTGGAAACGTGCACCTCAGCTGCCCACTGCCAGCTCCACCACCAGCGCTGGCAAGGAGGGATGCCCAGGAACGTGCTCATCCCATCCCATGGCCACTGGTGGCCGGAGAGCATGCAGAGCTGCCCATCAACAGCATCTCCCTTCGCCTACCTGCTTTCTTCTTCTCGAGGTTCCTCCTGTATGGGGGGAAGGGGATGAGCATCTGCCACCAGCTCAGTCTCATGATCCCAGGCCATCATCTTGCATGTGGCTTCGTTAGTCCAGTAATCATCGATCTCCTTCAGGATGAGGTCAGTCTCCTCAGGTTCCCCAGGGACAATATGAACTGAAATTGGAACGGGGAAAGGGAAGTGATGAAGTGAGAGTACCGTGTTTTCGAGAGGCCAGGGGTAGGGCCAGGGCAGATCCCCTGTTTTAGCTGCATGTTACAACAGCTGCTTGATGCAGTGGTGCTGCTGCATGCCAGGACTGATGTACCTCTGTGCAGCCCCAGTCCCTCCGAGCTGTGCTGGATGGATACCTTGGGCAGTTTTGCCAGAAGGAAGAAAATTCAACATTTTGTGCCAAGTGCAGGCAAAGCCCTATGAAAACTATAACCCTTTGCATACAGATGCCTGTTGGCTTCCCTATGCACATAGCAGCCTCCACCAGACGACTCAGCCTGTCTCCAGGCCACATTTTGGCTCTCCTTGCAAACAGAAGCAGCTGTGGCAAAAGCCCAAAGCCTTTCCCCTTGCAAACCCCAAGCAAAACGCTGC